CCCCCACGGGCCCCCCCCAGCCACTCTTGCTTCTCCAAGATACTCCTGACCCCAGTCCTGCCCAGCCTGCTCCCTCTGTCTCCAGAGCTCTCCAGCTCCAACAGTCCATTAAGGTGCACGGAACTTATTTCAAGTCCCAGTACTTTCAAAAACAAGTGAGCTGAGACATAGGTTATGCACATAAAGTACATGCAATTTCTTACTGCCTAGGTAGACAATGTGTAGAACTGAAAAAGTTCCACTGATTTGGCATCAAACAACAGTGGCCAGTTACTGATTCTGGGATGAGAACAGAAGCAGCTGCCTAGAATACCACGCTCCATTTACACTGACCCAGGTTCCAGTGGCCAACAGCTTGAGCAGGACATGAAAAATTTTCAAATTATTTTTTAAAAGTAAGCATTTTTACGTTTATTACAAAGAGTATGAAACAAGCTATACAAAAAGCAAACTGAAGAACACAAAAATCCAATCACCCAAGAAATTCCTATTACTGTACATACACACATACATTACCACTCCCTATGCAGAAGGTACATGTGAAAATATGCTCCTTGCGTCATGCTGCATTGTATGACAAGGGATGTATAGTCTTAGGCAGGCAAACATAAACATCCCATCTGAGTGCTGAGTAACCATGGAAAGCAGGGTAAAATATAATCAAACACTTTCCTAATAAAATAAACAAGTGTAAACTTAATGGTTCAAAGTAGTGGTTTAGCATCCAGAAGTGCTATAGCTCAGACTCCACCTGTCAATCAAGCTTCACAGTATCTGGTAAATACCATTTTTTTCGAGTACTGAAAAAGTATTCTGCTCAAGAAACCATTAGTAGTCTTTTGTTTATTCAGTTCTTTCTCTAAACAAGGAAATAAATGTTATACAAAGTGCTAAAACAACATTACTTTATCCTATGGAGGGTATCTGGGTTTTTTGTTTTCATTTTCTTTTATTTTCTTTTATTTTTTTGGGAGAAAGTGTATCAGTAAGCCAAGAGTTTAAATTACTGTAACATATACCTATGGATCAGGTGTCCTCAGTAGCAATGATTTTCTGCTCAGGTTTTTATCAGTAAATGACAAGCACCTTCCCTTTAAGTCCCCATTACTCCCCCTCCTTCTTTTCTTCAAGTTCAGTGGAAACCAGTTCAAGCAAGCAAAGGAATCAACTAATGTAACAGCCTTTTTAAAAGGTGAAGTTTTCCATTTCAAAGGAGCCTCTAATCAATGACAGGGCGCAAAAGGGAATGCACGCATGTTTATGCGCGTATAGCACAGACTTTAGAGAAGCTTTGGGGAACATGTTCTGCAAAATCAATATGACCTAGCTAGTTACAAATTTCATATCTGCTGCATGAAACAAATGGCCTTTTTGTGCAAGCTGGGTCTCAAGGATCAGGCATATGACACCAGACTTTGCATATGAAGAGTGCAAAAATTGCAACATTCCCAAACACATTTTCTCTAAGAACACACCCACAATTCTCACCCTCTCGCACGGAGGAAGAACCAGACTAAATCAATCTGTAAATTTTATTTATCTCACTGTTATGTACTTGTTTGATTCCCAGTTATGGCAGCTGTCTTCTCTGTTTTACTTTTGAATACCCCTCTGCCTCTCCTGACCACAGCAGCAATGGAGAGGTTTGATCTTTCCAGCTCTGTCAGATCTGCCTAACTCATCCCCCAAAGCCGGGTGAGGAACACACACTGCAGAAACAATTATTAATGGGCAATGTAACGTTTTGTGCCAAGACTCAGCCATGCCAGGAAATCCACATACCTTTCTGAGATGCTTGGGTCTTCAAAGCCTCAACCTGATCCATTCCGGCTGCCTTGTGACATTCTACCCCACAAAGCATCATATATTTTTATTGGGTACTGAGGCCATTCTTTTTTCACCAAACATGTACATTATTCTAAATTTTTTTTAAGGGGAAAAGAAGTCCCTACACTAACAACTGTGTATAAAGAATGACTGAAAAGGAAACAAAACAAAAGAGTTGAGTGTGGAATTCTGTGTTTCATGTTGTCATTAATCAGCATTCCTGGAGGAGGGGACATCCAACACAGAAATCCAGCAAAAATTAAGACTCTCTCCTCCTCCTTGTGAGCCCTCTTAGTTCCTCCTGGATACTATCCCAGAAATATGTCATCCTGTGAGTTCAACTTGCTTCACTGTGAGAAAACTTCTAGTGTTTATGGTATCCCCATATGGTGCTACTTGGAATATTTCTGGTAGCAAGACATTTTAGGAGGGGCATTTCATAAATAACTCCATGTTTATCACAGTTATCATGTGTCTGTTTTGCAAGCTTGTCACTGGCACATGTTAACCACTGCATGGACAGGATGCCCAGTTTAGAGCAGCTGATCGCCTGTATGGCCATGCAATAAAAGTTATGACAACTATTTTTCATGAGCTAGAGAGGAATAAGGCGAAAGGAAAAGCGTTTAAAGATTATAAATGGTAACATTAAGAAAAAAAAATGCTCTGTTTATGTTTGTGAGCACTTGCTAGGAAGCATCATTTTAGAACAGTGCTGTTGTCTGCAAGGTTTTCCCTTCCAAGATTTACAAATCTTTGAACCATTTGACATAATAATAATTGATTTCCCTTATATTTCAAGATCTTTTTTATTCTAGGACTGGCTAGAGGACTAGGTATCAAGTCCAGGCAAAGACATCAGAGATAAGAATTTTAAAAACACTAGCAAAACTGCAGTGCTTGTAGCTAGCACTGTTTCTATCCATCTTAATTCCAAGATGGACAATGAAAAGTTGAACTCTCTAGGACATGACTCAAGTATTTACAGCAAACTGCCTTTATACTCTGGGCATTCACTTTACTTTGAGAAAGCCTTGTTTCCAATTGTATTTTGGTAAAACCTGCCATTCAACTGCTCTTTCCCCAGAGAAGGAAACCCCCTGAGCCTTTTACATTGAGGACTGTCATTATTTTCCCTGGGAAAAGAAAAGAAATACCAGGAAATCTCACATTGCTAATGTGTGACTTAAAACGAAGGCTGCATTTGGCACCAACTAAAAAAGCCCCAACACCTAACAAACCTCGGTCCTGCGGCATTGGTGACTGGCTTAAGGCAGGGTGGGAGCTGGATTCCGACTGGCTGCCAGGAGGCTGCGGTGGCATCTGACTGCCTGTAACACACAGAGAAAAAAGGGAAAACAGACTTGCTTTTAAGATTGCAATGCACAAAACCAAGCCTTGCTGCATTTTTCAACCACTCAACATCAAAAAGCACCAGTTGTATAAGGTAAAGACAGAGCTCAACAGGTTTAGCTTTTTCTATTTTTTTTTTCTTTTTTTTTCCCTTTCTCTTTTTGAAAACCACAGAGGAAACATGCATAAACATATTTAGCAACAGGCATGGCAAAATGTTCAATTTCACATTGAGCGAGTTCCCAACCTCACCAACATGATCCAATTTATAGCTGCAAATCTCCTGACACATATTTCTGTTAGAGAGTTTAACAAAATCCAAGTTTGCTGAACAATAGGACTCATCCCGCCGAGCTTAAACTGGCCTCCAGCCAGGCAGACATGGACTGCTGCCAACAATATTTCCAATGAAAAATTCAGTCAATACAAAAATTACTAACAACAACAGTTTAAGAAGTATTTCAATGAATCAGTGGTTTTAATATTATTAAAATGTCCATGTAGAATATGGGAATAAAGAATAATATGTAGGTGCATGTGGTGAAAGTGAAGCTTGTTTGAAAGAGATTAGACAGAAAAGGGGTATCTTATTATTCAAATACAAGTAAAGGGAAGATATTTGCTTATTGAAATATCCATCCAGAACAGACAGACCCATTTTTATAGCCTCATTCAAAAGACACACACACAGTTTATCCACTGCTGTCTATCCACCTGAAGATCAGCACTCAGTGCTGTCTGGGAGGTTTAGGACACAAAATCTTCCCTTTCAGTATTACTGGATAGTAAATCAGGTAGGTGCTCGCTCTTCTGGGTCACCATTCAACACCGTGTCAAGCAGGGAGGTCCACACCACCACCCTTGCACTGCCACAACACCCCAGCAGCTTTGTGCCCAACAGCCAACCTGCCACAGCCTGACCAGGGACAGGAAGGAATGAGACGTGGATGTCCCCTGGGACCCCCCTGCACTGCTGGTCTGAGACGCGCCTGCTCTTGACAGCCCAAGCAGCTTGAAGACCACCTCAGGTCAGGCAGCAAATGTATACTTTAAGCATTTAGACGCTGTAGTGATGAGCGTGGTATAAATAGCAGCAGACAGATTTATACCCCTCATCCTCAGAAACTGCTCAGATTGTTTTCCATTTGAAAGAAATGGAAAGAATAAAACCACCCACAATAGATGTGTGCCTGCTGAGACTCATTTCCTCCTGCTCGGCAGCCGTCCCTCCCCAGCGGTGGGAGTGAGAACGCCATGGCCAGTCCTGGCATTGGGAGCCCGGCTGATGCGGGGCAGCAGGGGCTGCTCGCTTGTTAGAGCAATAAATGCCCCTAAGTTGGACTTAAATGGAGGAAAGTGAATGTGTCTGCTCTGTCCCGTCCACTTCCCAGCCTCAAAACAACTGGCTCTCAGCACTGGCTCTAAAGAAAGGCCAAAAAGATAAAGAACAAAAAGAAAATCCACCAAATGTGGAGTGTAACCACTGCCTAGTGATTCAGAGGAGGTGCATTTGCACTAAAAAACATGACAGTCAACATTACTGGGAGCAGCTGTGACAACTGTCTAAGAGATGCAAATGCTGGACCAGAGGCAGAATTGCTCCTCCAAAAGACCAAACATGCCACTCAGCGCCTGAGGCTTTGGGATCCACGGCCCATTCACGAACTCTGGGGCATATGACAATAATATTCTGGCTTATGTTTTGATATCACTCAAGAGCAGGCTGTGGAGACAGTAAGTGCCTGGATGATAATGAACACTTTCTGCTTGACAGGAAGGGTTCAGTGACTCAAGACTGTAAACAAACAGCAATTCCATGTTAACATGGGGCACTGCCACTTCCACTGTGTATGCCTGAGGCACTGCTATCAGACAGAATTCTTCAAGTAGGTCTGAACCATCTAAGATTTTTAGAAATACTTAAAAAAAAAAAAAAAAAAAAAAAGCAGGGGTAGTCCTGACTGTAGCACACAGCTCCCAGTGGGATCCCCCTTTAGGTAGAGGATTGGCAAAATTTAAGAGACAATAATACTGTATGGAAGATCTATGCGAGGCAACATATTTTGAATACATTTATATAATGTCTTTAATATTTTACATTTATTGTAAGTTTAGTTATCTGGCAGGAGCCTTATCCTGCACATGCACATGTGTAAGCACAGACAAGGAAAGTCAAAGCCTAGAACAGTGCGTGTATGAGATGCTAAAGAGAAATTATCATAGAATCATAGAACAGTTTGTGTTGTAAGGAACCTTAAAGATCATCCAGTTCCAACCCCCCTGACATAAGCAGGGACACCCCTCACTAGACCAGGTTGCTCAAAGCCTCATCCAACCTGGCCTTGAACACTTCCAGGGAGGGGGCAGCCACAGCTTCTCTGGGCAACCAGCTCCCGTGTCTGACCACCCTCACAGGGAAGAATTTCTTCCTAATATCTAATCTAAACCTCCCCTCTTCCAGTCTGAAGCCATTACAATTGTTTTGATCTGCATTCTTAGGGAATAAAGACTCAGGAGTTTCAGGAATTCACTGAAATTACTAGTCTCTGTAAACATTAATGCTATTTCATTAGTTCACTTTTTAAAGTTTACTTCAGATTTTCTGTACTAAAAAACCCCTTTAAACCTAAATTTTTGTTTCACAAAGGAAAACAATTTTGTGAACCAGACCAACTCTACACATATTCAGACAAGTAATGAACTTACAAGAGAAGTGTCCATTATGGTAATTATCAGTGGGTGCTACAAATTATCCAGGTGCTGGACATGAAAGTATCGCACTAAAACGTTTTCAGTTGAACTGCCATTTTATCCTTAGAAGTGATCTGAAAGGTAAAAGGAGGTTAAGCACCCAAACACCTTTGAAGACTTGAACTGAACTCTTAATTTGGGTATCTAAACTCCTATTGATTGGGAGCTGATGATAGGACTTTAAAAACCTTTGAAGATCCTTTCTGCCATGCTTTTTAAGTTCCTTTGTCATGAAACAAAATGACCTTAAAAATTTTATATTTCTTTCCTTTAAATGATATTAATCCTTCTCTCTTTCAACCCGTATTGTAGTTGGGATTCTTGGAAGACACTTGAACATGAACAGACATGAACAGACTTTTGTATTTTATTAGGGAAGGAAAACTTCTACGAAAGAAAAACAACCTCTTTTCTTTTTAAACATAAATTCTACAGCTATTTAAGAGGAGAAAATAAACCCCAACATTTTTTTCACTGACAGACTACTGCCTCCTTTGACCCAGTGATAACACAGATGGAAGTTTAAACAGGGATGACCTTTTCCTGTGTTTTGTACAGTACTGTTGCCACACTGGTGAGATACTCCACCTGCCAAAACTTATGCAAAGTGAATACTATGGATGTTTCACAATATTTTTATTATATAAAATTGCAGCAAATACATGTTAAAAGGATAGATCCTGCCACACTAGTTCCTTCACCCAGATTTAGCAGAGAAGCAAAATAGTACTCAAATTTATATTGCTATCTTTTAAAATTAATTGTTAAAACTACTAAAACCAGCAGCCTACCTAATATCATGTCTGCTATTTTTTTTTTTTTTGAACTGAAGTCAATTGAAGAGGTAAGAGAATCTAAAAATGCTTTTGCTATTGCACAGTTGTAAGCTGGTTTTCTACTTTTTAAATTATGTTAGAAATGCTTTTAAACATTTTGCATGAGAATGAAAATCTACACTTGAAATAGAGTCGGGAGAGACTGTACTGCACCTTTGGAAAAGATGGTCTGAGAAAAGTACTAAATGGTGACTGTATTATTACTACAGCCATGAAATCTGCAATTAAAGTGTAAAAAGTAAATTCCTTAGAGCAAACATAGCAAGAAAGAACAGACTTTTGATATTCTGCTGAGGAGTGGTCCTTATGATGAATTACAGCCCAAATCAGTAACATTTCAAAACGTGCTGAGAGTTCTCTGCTCCTGTCACTGTAAAGTCACTGGAGGATGCTCAGCAGCGGTCTCCTGTACCAGTTGGACAATACCTCACTGAATTGTGCCTGAACAATTGAATCAAGGAAGCACTTCAGTGAAAACAGGTTCCCCCTGGGAAATTTCTGGTTAAGGAGGGAAGGAGGGATATCAGCACAGGAATTTTAAGATGTGTGAGAAACTGGGAAAGAGAGGCAGGGGACTGATCACAGACTGTGTTGAAAGGGGAACATGAGGCTGGAGGAAAGCCAGAAGTTAAAAGATCTTGTGGGTTGTCTCCAGGACATTTCTCAGTCTAATTCAGGAACTAAGAGCTAGGACTGGATTAATGACACTGGCTGATTACAAAGTAAGGAATCTTAGTCAATGCAGAAGATGATCAAAATACTATCTAAGAAACTGGACCACCTTTTGTATTGGAGTAACAAAAATGCAAACCTTTATACTCACAGACCAGAAATAGACCTTTTCTAACTGAAGAGCTGTAGGGTTATGTGTTGACCCACACAGGGGGTTTACAAGTGAGGTCATCTTTTTTTATCCCCCTCAGAAAGCGCGTGCCCCACTCTGCACAAGGAGAGTCACTACAATGACTCTGAGAAACAGTTAACAATACTATAGAGCTTTATTGGTAATCAATGGGCTTAATGTTGGCAATTGACAACCAGGCAACTGGCAAAATATTATGGGAAAGGCAAAAGGGAAAAAAAAGGTTATCAGTTAGAAATGGGAGAAGAAACGGAAGGAAAACCTGACAATTATTTGTCGACCTACAAATGGTTATAACTAACGATGTGATGTCACCCTGAATCAAACAAATTTATTATTAGGATGAAGTAGGAGAATTGTTTCCAGTAGAGGTAAGGGAACGTAACGCCATTGCTGATGTGTCACTGGTGAGCCTTCACGCAGATAAAACCAGAAAGGCTACTGGAATGGGAAACAAGAACAGCTACCAGCATGACGTGACAGGAGGCCGACAGAGTGAGTATTATTCAGCATGGAAAAAACTAAAGCTGTGATTTTGTGATCTCTTTTAAAAATGTACTTGTGGCTATATATCAGGGAGGAAAAAGAGCATGATGCTTGGGATGATAATCAAACCATTACTGGAATTTGAAACAACTTCCTTTTAGGAGTAATGAGGTCCAGGAAATCTAGTGATTAAGATGAAATCTGATAAAATAATGGGATTATATCACACAGTCTATGTGACAGTAAAGGTTCACAGATTGAAAGAGACATTTTGGGTCTCGGATCCCTACATCAGAAATGAAAGATCATAAATAGGCTTCTCTATGGGATTGTCTGAAATGAGCTTTTCAGGAAATTGGAAGTAAGGTGCCAATGACCTCAAATGAAAAAAATTTTGCTATGGGTAGCATAAAGGGTAACTGGTCATGTGGTTTGTGTTATCTCTTTCATCTTACAAAGCCTATGACTCCTTAAGAAAAAAGATTATTTTCTTCCTTAATTTATGCATTGTAATTAAGTTTCCTGTTGTATCAACAGTATTTTTTAAATGACTTATTCATCTAAGTAAAAAGCAAGGATTGCCTGCATATCCCCCCAAATTAAGACATGCAAAATACTAAAACCTTCCTTGTATCCACAGAGTAACCTGAGCACAAATGCTTTAAAAGGTCAGTGACACAAGGACCCTTTCAGATACAGCAGCCTTGGCCTTGTTGAGCCACTCTGGAGGGGATATGGAGAGTCAAGCACGCTTGAACCAAGCCTTCTGGCTTTGCTCAGCACCTTGCTGCAGCCAATAACCCCTTGCTAATGACAGCAGCGCTGGTAATCCACTGCTGCCTGCTCACCGAGATGATGTCCACCTCTCTGAGCTGGGAGCTCGGGACCAAGCCCGGAGCCCTCCCACCTTGGGATGCATTTGGTGGCTACCTGTGTGGCTTGCTGAAGGTGAGATCGTAAGCGGCTGATTTGTTCCACCGCAGCAACACAAAGCATCTGTAAACATGAAGATTATCAACTTAAGCCAGACTTACGGGTGCTCCACATAACAAAATGTTATCAAGACTGTTGTTGGGCCTGGTCCTGATTTTCCTTATTAATTCTTAAAATTCTTTAAAAAAATTCTTAAAATGTGTCATGCTCCTAAGACACAAGATTCCCTAACATACACAACTATCGTTCACAACCCATATAAAAGCAACAAAAGGTAAAAAAATGTTGTTTTTTCTTAAGAACGTATATAATTTTCAGACTATCAATCCTTAAAAGTTACACTCCACCTTCTTTCTCATATTTGTGTTACATTTACCATATCAAGGAC